ACACACACACACACACACACACACACACACACACACACACACGCACGCACACACACAAACACACCTACAATTGAGATCATAATGAATCGGCATTTAAAGATTACAGCCAATATACACGAAGCCATTCTCACCCCAGGTAATACAACAGCGCCAAGTCCACTTTTTAGCTTGGACCTCCCTCTGCCGCCTCTTCCCGACAGCCCAGCTCCGCGAGGTCTCCGCTTCCCTGGGAATCCAGACCCTCGACCCTACATAACAGATAAAGGTACGTTAACAGTCTATAAAAGCCCAAAGGAATGTTTAACTGCAAATATCAGTAAGACAAACATTTTGTTAAATGTTACACAAATATTTTCTGTCTTTTATTCTTATTAGATAACACATATTGAGCGACCAGGCTTATATTTGTGTTTAAAATTTGTACACCACAATCTAAAATATAAAATGCTTGTAACCTTAGAGTTAAATGTTGCATCGGTCATTATGAATGCTCTCTATAAGCAGATTCCAGCATTTTCCTTCCATTTTCTAGTCCTACCTTTTACGTGGTCAAAACAACCAAACCCAATTTAGATATTTCAATGTGTCATCAATTACATTCAATGTAACATAAATGTAAGGAAGAAATTTTGTGACTTGGCCTCTCAGGGATTATATGAATAGCTGGTACGTACTAAGTACTGACTGCATACTGATATAAGCACTTTTTACTCTCAACACGGATTCTCATTTTAGCAATGAATGTACTGAGGGATACATGGCTAAATGTCCAAGGCCATCAAGCTGGCAAGCCTGGCTCCAGTCACTGGGTTTTAAACACTCGTCTTCAATTTCCAAAAAATCATTTGTGTACTAATACAAAATATTATTCTCCTTATCATTAAAATTAAATATCAGCCAATCATTGGTGGCACAGGTTTGTAATCCTAGGTACTCAGGAGGCTGAGATCTGAGGAAAGCAGTTCAAAGCCAGCCTAAACAGAAAAGTCTGTGAGATTCTTATCTCCCTTTAACTACCAAAAAAACTTGGAAGTGCAGCTATGACTCAAATAGTAGAGAACTAGCTTTGAGCAAAAGAGCTACAGTGCTCAGGCCCCGAGTTCAAGCCTCAGGACTGGCACAAAAATATATAAAAGGAACATCTTTTATTTAACAAAATATACATGCTTAACTTATACCACAGTGTTTAAAGGGGGAAAAAAATCACCTAAAGATTATAGGAAGATTGACAATAACAAGGAAAAGGCCTTGCTTTAAGTAACCTGAAAAGCAAATACTTGAAATCAGAATGATTTATCTCACTTTTTAACCCAACAAGAAAAAAAAATCCTATGGCAAAATATACTATTTTGTGGTATGTGAAGCTGAAAATACAACTGTTTTGGATTTTTTCTTTTCTTGATGATGACTTGTGTGTTTTCTTCACTTAGACTTACATATTACTTAATGAAAAAATTTATCTACCCACGTAGATATCGTAATATGTACATATAATTTTTGAAATTACAAAATATCTTTCTGTTCTGTTTCCCTAACAAATCAAATAGGTCCTACCTTCAGTTGAGGCCACATATCAGTCTGATACACTACACTAAATCCCTATTCAGTGAAATATTTTTCTGGTATAAAAATGTTTGGTTATATTGTGAGAATGAAACATAATACAAGAACAAATGGCAGGGGAAATTCTGTTTGCCCTCCAGTCTTTATAGACACAGTCATCCTCCAAATTCAAATTTTCTCCTTGTCTTCTCATTTTGTCCTCCTCGGGTCCCTCAGCTGTGAGTAAGGCAGTTAGGGTTGCACTAGACAGCTTGTTTTCAATAGGCATTAAAGGGTTTTTGTTCGTTTGTTTTTAATTAAAAGAATCAAGCCCTGAGCTGGTGGCTCAGGCTTGTAATTATAGTTACACAAGAGGCTGAGATCTGAGGATGGTATGAGTCCTACTAAACCGCCTGACCCATGCTCAGATATTTAGATATTATCCAGATATTTACATGCAAGGGTGTCATTTCTTTACACTACAAATTTCAGATTAAGACGGTGGCTCTGGAAGCTGGATGTAGAAAAGAAAGGATAAAATTTAACATCTAATAGGACAAAACAAACCAGAAGGAAATGACACATGAATGTAAATACAATTTTATTTACCACTTTGATGCTCCAAATGGCACTGCCAGGAAGCTGCCTGGGTTTAAAAATTTCCCGACCTTCTGAAATGTCTGGGGACCAGGAAGGTGGGCTCACTGTATTATGGGTACTCCAGGCCCCCTAGGATGTGGCAGGTGAGAAAACAGATGTGTAAAACTCAGCAACATAAAAAGTCAAAGCCAGCAACTAAAGAATTTTAGAATAGCCAAAACAAATGCAAGTGTATGGAAATAGGGCAAATAAGTTTATCACTTAGTGACTTTATGTTTAAATATTTGTAGTTACAAACTATTTTTATGGTTCACTACAGTAAAGTGTATTAAAATTAAAGTTTATATGACATCAACACTGACTCATGAACTACAATTACAGCATAAATAATCACTGTATTCTAAAAATAAAAGAAACAGATTTTTTTTCTTCCTCTAATAAATGTAAGTATACTAAAAAGGAGAAAGGGACAACCTTAACATTTATGTTAAGGTTATGTTCCAGTGTTACAACCAACCTACTATGCCAAGAAAATAAAATCAAAACATGGGTAATCAATACAGACATTTTAAAACTGTAGTGGGGAAAGGGTTATTCTGAACAAAATATAACATGTACATCTGAAATACCATGATAAAATTCCTTGATGCAATTAATACACAGTAAAAAGAAATAAGTAAAATAAATGATAGGAAAGTAAGAGCGGCTCTGTGTGGGGCACACCAATGGGAGGAGGGAGTGCGAATGAAAAGGATGAATGGAGATGAATGTAGAAGAAGTAGTTTATTTGCATGTGTGAAAATAGAACAGTGAAACCTCTTGAAATTGTTCTAAGAAAGTGGTGGGGTAAGGGCAACAGAGGGGCACTTCTGATGGGGATACATTGTATGCATGAATGAAAACGTGAGAAATTATCTTTTCTATCAAAATGGATTGCCTCCTTTCTGTCCATCTTATGAGAACTCTTTTTCTGAAAAGTTCCTGTTTGGGCCCGGTGGCTGGGCTCTTGTTGATTATTCTGCTAAGACAATATCAGCAAGACAATAAAGAAGGGAAAGAGGAAATGCTTTTGTCTAAGGAAGGATTGGGGGAAGTAATGGTCTTCAGAACTAGCTGCTCCAAAATGGAACTGACATTCCTCATGATTGCTCAACAAAGTGGCAGGGGTATGAGTATGTTCTGAGGTTTTGTGTAGTCTCTTTATAACTAAGTATGTAAATATATTCTAGGCTCTTCAAACTAAGCCATCTTGAGCAGACTGTGATCTTAAGATTGGCCAGTTTGAGCAGAGGGGCGGGTCTGCTGGGTCAGGCGTAAAAAGGGAGCAGCCTGTCTGCTGAGGATGTACCCTTCTGCAAAAGTAAACTGTGCCTTGCTGAGTTCTTTTAGAATTGGTGTCCTTATTCATACACAACATCCCAACATCCCCAGGCATATTTAACACAATGAACCCCTCTTGAACAGCCAACATATGATAATTTTCTAAAGCTGTAAAAAAGTTAGCTTATAACCTTCAAGTACAAATCCCATTTTAATCTCAGTGTTTACTCTGCCTTTGGCGACCATTAGTTGTAGTTTTTATTTTTATTTAGGGGAATGAATAGTTCATGGAAATTACATCCAAAGGACAAACTTGAAAAGTGAAGAAATTTTAAGGCAAATTGATCTAAATTTGCAAATTAAGATACCTGAAGTGTCCATTATGTACATAGGAAACAGTATTTCATTAAAATCGTTAAAATAAAACCAAGGCATAACATTTCCAACAAGTACATTTAGCAACATGAACTAACCTGATGCTAAAGAGCATTAAGAAGATGTTTATTCTAGGAAGCCAACATTTTAAAAGAAAAACACCAAAACAAATGTCAAACAATAAAAACTTGCTTTGACTTAGGTGATACATTCTGTTATTTCACTAAATGACTAAAAGTTAAGATGTATAGTACTTATCAAGTTTCTATAACATTAATAAGAATCCCATTCATAAAATAAAAATACCATAAATAATTTAAAGTAACCAGAAATAAGAGATTGACTACTTCACTATTAGCAGATTAGTCAGTGAAGTCACAGTATTTCATTAAGAGGGGAGGAACCACACCAAGGAGAGATTGGTTTCACTTGTAATTCATAAAGGCAAGCCACACACATGAAGCCCCAGCAATCCTACTTCATCCTTACACACACTCTTACCCTCCACTGTTAATCATAAAATTTCTGCCTACTGTTGAAGCTCTAACCTGACTTTACCCCAGCCCAGCTACCAAAGCCATGTTGATCTCAGGACAACAACCATGGCTTGTGACCTGGTGAGAATCCTCCCTCCCTCCCATCTCATTCTGAACGGTGGCTGGATGTTTAGGATCCTGCTCAGCACTGGAAGTGATCTATCTCCCTTCAGACCTGTAGCATCCTCTCAATCTATCACTATTGGATGTTTTATTTCATGGTTAATAGCTTTATTTAGTGGTAGAGAAAGTAGAGGCAAGAGATCATCTAACTTTAGTTTTCTCTATAATGACAGTGGCCTTTCTCTGAGGACCTTAACCAGAGGACATCACAAATTCATTTTGGTAGCTCACTTACAATGTTACGTAAGTAGACAATTTCCAAAACATGCCATAAAAATTCATATTGCAAGACAAAAATAATATTGAATTTTTTCATAAAGAGGAATTTTCTGGTGATGATGCATAATTCAACATAATTTGAAAGTTAGCTTTGATGCCAAAATTATATCTCATTTTAAAAAGCATTTACATTTCATATAACGTGGATAAACCAAATGAAGGACTTTATAAATTGAAAATGTTTGGATGCCATTTCAGGGATAATTAGGAAACTACTCGAGTGCAATGAAGAATTTATATAATAAAATCATGGATAATTACATTATGAATTTTAATAAGTATATTATCATAAGACACTAGAAGATAGATTATGTGCAATTTTACAGAACTGAAGAAAAATTATGATTATGTATAGATATTTTGACAAATAAATTACTAATATATTCTTTGGACCTTTAAACTGAAATCCAGTTGTCATTATCAAAGTTTAGTTTATAAATCATCCTTTGGTTCCCAGCTTTGACCAAAAAGAATGCACATCAACTGTTCAGAAAAGGTTAGCTGCTGCTATAATATGCAACTTCTGCAGCATGCTTTACCCCACTGCAACATTTATTATTCTATTTGCCACTGGTCTGGTTTGATGACAGACCTCTGTGTTCTCTATTGCATACAGTAGTCTACTTAATAGTTGTTCTTTCCTAAGTATATTCTGTACATACATATATAAGTCAAGATATATTGTGCTATTGAATATAGTGATCCTAAGTCTAGAATCTTGAGTTTCTTACCCGTTTTTAAAAATTATCAGTCTATGGTAGCTTATTTCTGAAATCCCAACTACTATAGAGACAGAGACTGCAGTTCAAGGACAGGATGAGCAAATGTTGGCAAAATCTCATTTAAACCAGTAAGCCAGGTACATGCCAATCCTCCTACATAAAAGGTATAAATAGAAAACTGCAATTCAGGTCAGCAAGGAAGAGATGTAAGACCCTATCTAAAAGTTAAAGCATAAAAGAGTTGTGGCATGGCTCAAGCAGTAGATCCCCTAGCTATCCCTGAGTTCAAACACCAATACCAGGCACACACACACACTTTTTTTTTTTGTCAATCTATCCAATGCACTGTCACTATGGTAACTCTTAGACTTTTAACAATATTAAGAGCATACCAGACCTGGTAGCTTACACCTATAATCCCAGCTACTCAGGTGTCTCCAGAGATTCCAAGCTAGCCTGGGTCTTAAATCGTTAAGACTACATATCCAGCCAGGCACCAGCTCATGCCTATAATCCTAGCTACTCAGGAGACTGAGATCTGACAATCGCTGTTCAAAGCCAGCCTGGGTGGGAAAGTCTGTGACACTCTTATCTCATTGTAATAAGCCACCAGAAAACCAAAGTGTTGCTGTGGCTCAAGTGGTAGAGCACTAGCCTTGAGCTGAAGAGCTCAAAGACAGCACCCAAGCCCAGAGTTCAAGCCCCATGACTGACAAAAAAAAAGGGGGGGGGCGGGAAGGTGGCTCAGTGGTAGAGCGCTTGCCTTGCATGCCTGAGGCCCTGGGTTTGATTCCTCAGCACCACATAAGCAAAAAGAAAAAAGCCGGAAGTGGTGGTCTGGCTCAAGTGGAGACTAGCCTTGAGCTGAAGAGCTGAGGGACAGCGCCCAGGCCCAGAGTTCAGGTCCCACAACCGGACCCCAAAAGAAAGACTGCATATCCAATCAACCAGCAAAATGCCAGAATGGAGGTATCAAGTCATAGAGCACCAGCTGTGAGCAAGAAAAACACAAGTGAGAGTGTAAGATTCTGCTTTCAAGAGCTGCTACTTGTAACCCCCCCCCAAAAAAAAGGTATTAAGAATAAAAGACTTCAAAATGCAATCAAAAGACTGAAAAAGAACCAAGCAGAACTAATTTGCTATCAAATTCTATAGAAATTTTTCAATAATACTAAGGAAGATGGAACCAAATCCAAAATAATTCATCCAAAAATCATTCAAAGCTAGCATTAACTTCTTTCTCTTTGGAGCCTATTTACCAACTAAGGAAGCTGTACAGAAGTTACAGGACTTCAGGGAAACTAACAAACATGGCATGTGGAAGACATTCTGGAAAACTATTCTATAAAAATCAAATCCTACTGCTAGGTGTTAAATGCACTCAATGGCACTGTTATAGCCCAAGAGAATATGTCAGTCTCAAGAGGAGCCAGGGAAGTTTGGGTGTCTCACCAAGTCCTAAATCAAGCTTGGGTATACCTTCTGCCAACTTCAATGCAAAACCAAGGGTGCTACTGAACAGGGATTCTAATCTAGAGAAAAAGAAAAAACACTGAAGTCAGGCAAAGAGAAAGGTAACTAGCAAGAGAAATAGGAAAGCAGATGATCATTTGTCTTTGAGTAAATACATCATCCCATCAAATGCTCACTGGAGCTACCACACCAAATACTTCATAAAAATTGACAATTTGCATGTGCCTAACTGAGACTTCAATAATTTCAGTACACAAATGGACTGGTATCAGAAACGGCTCTAGAAACAACATATGAACAAAATATATGGACAAAAGGAGAGTCTGACTGCCATGGGTTTTCAGTCTGGAGCTCCAAAGAGCTAGACTTTTTTTTTTTTTTTTTGGTCAGTTGTGGGGCTTGAACTCTGGGCCTGGATGCTGTCCCTCAGCTCTTCAGCTTAAGACAAGCGCTCTACCATTTGAGTCACAGTGTCACTTCCAGTTTTCTGGTGCTTCATTGGAGATAAGAGTCTCACAGACTTTCCCGCCCAGGCTGGCTTTGAACCACGATCCTCAGCTCTCGGCCTCCGAGTAGCTAGGATGACAGAAGTCAGCTGCCGGTGCCCAACGTGGACAGTTTTATGTGTATACAATCTGTGGCTTCCTCTTGGTTTGGAGAGGGCACCTGTTGCATTCTGGCCTACACAGGGATTTCAGTAAACAACTGACACAAATTAAGGTGAAGCCTGAGAATCTATTTGGCAAACTCCCAGGTGATGCTGATATGCCTAGTTTGCCACCCATCCTGTTGAGAACAAGGCCAAGCCTAAAGTTAGAGTTCTTGTGGACCCTCAGGAGTTTCTCAGTCACCCTTGTACATTCTGTATTTAGTTATCTTACTAATTCAAAAACATTCGCAACCATTAGAAGGCTTTAAACTTGGAAAACCCATTATACATTGTATTTAAAGACTTGTAGTACAAGTTTTAGTATATTTTGGTCTATATATATATACTATATATAATACATGATTATCAGAACTTCTTATATTTATTAATATAGAATATTTTTGTATTATTCTGCAACCTATAATGACTGACTGAGCACCAGACAGTTATTTTAACACATTCCCATCACACAACCTTTTTAAGTTTAGAAAATACATAATGAAAGAAAAGACATTTGCTACATGGCAGGTGCTATCATTAAATTCCAACAAAATTACTGGGGTCTCATTTCATATGTAAGGCATAGTTTCAGGAAATAACTTGCCCAATAGTGAGAGGTTTGGATTATCAAAATAGCCATGCTGTATTTATTAGTCTCTCATGTTACCAATGAATTTTACCACACACTGTCACAAACAGTACAAAACATTTAATTGATCAGATTTTTTTGTGTGTAATTATTCAAGTCTTTGGGCATGAACCCAGGGCCTGGATACTACACTTTGTGCTCAAGGTTGGTGCTCTACCACTTGAGCCATATCTCTACCTCCAGCTCTTTGGTGTTTTATTGGAAGTAAGACTCTCACAGCTATTAAACAGCAGTCCTCAGATCTCAACTTTGAGTAGCCAGGATGACGGGTATGAGCCATCAGTGCCAGGCTTTCTTTGCCTGGAACTATCCATGTAGTCAACATTTTGCTCCTGAGCACTTCTACTGTAGTCAGTTCAAACTGAGAGGGTTTTAAGTCTAAATCACAGCCAGATCTCAAACACACAACATAAAAACAACTTGGGGAATGAGTCGTGGTAGTACATACCTGTACTTCCACAACTCATGAAGCTCAGGCAGGAGGATCTCAAGGACTCCACCGTGGGCAACACAGTGAGACTGTGAGAACTTAAGGTGACTGGTGCGGGAGTGTGGGGGGAGCATTTCATTCATTGCACATTGAGTAAATGCTGCAATAACATTCTGGCCATTAGGATGAATCAAATACATTAATATCTATTTCACTTTTTTTTTACTTCTTAAAGATGGCCGTTAGAAACTTTATATGTATATAGCTTATGGGGCTGGGAATGTGGCTTAGTGGTAGAGTGCTTGCTTTGCATGCCTGAGGCCCTGGGTTTGATTCCTCAGCACCACATAAGCAAAAAGAAAAAAGCCGGAAGTGGTGGTCTGGCTCAAGTGGAGAGCGCTAGCCTTGAGCTGAAGAGCTGAGGGACAGCGCCCAGGCCCAGAGTTTAGGCCCCACGACCGGATCCAAAAAGAAAAAAAAAAAAAACAACTATTATGTATATAGCTTATATTATAATGTACATCACTAGCTTACCCTTTCAAAGAACTTAAACTTCCAGATAACAGTCAATAGTTTGATCACTAGCTGTTACATCAAATGAAATCCTTCAGGTTTTGTCTCTAATTAAAAAGTGTTTAATTTGTGAAATATGAGAAAGAGACTACAAGCTAAAATAGTCAGATAATACTAGAAAACCATTAAGATAAACAAAGATCTAACCATTATTAAACAGGGTTTAATAAACTAAAGTTACTAATCGTTGGATGACATTCACTATATTTGTAAAGACTAAAGAACTAAGGACATTCTACAAAGTATGCTGTTCTAGTGATGCTGACAATCACATAGCTACAAACCAAAGCTTCAATCACAATCTCTGCCACGAAAATTCACCTTTTAGCAGATACAATAACAAATATTAGGATGTGGCTTACAGAAGATGACATGAGCCAAGAAAACACACACACACACACACACACTTACTTATAACATGTAAGTCAATGGGAAAAAATAGTCCATGTATTTAATCTGGTTTCCCACTGAAGCTAAACTCTCCAAATATAAAAAGTTTATCAGTATAATCTAACAGAAAAGTTCATCATGCAGTTGGTAATATGAATGTGAAATATGAATGTGTAATCCCAGCTATTTGGAGGAATAGCTGGTGAAAGGGTTGAACACCTGAGTTCAGGAATTTGAAGACAGATGGGTAGCGTAGTGAAACCCACCTCCTGACACTCCAAACGTTTAAGGCTATAAATACAGGAATCAAAAGTAAATTTGAAGTTTACACTTCTATAACTCTAGACTTTTTAGAATCATAACTACAAAATTATTATTTTTATAATGACAAGGAAGACTTACAGAGGAAAAGAATTGATTTGAGAACAAAAATCTAGGACAGAAATTAAGCGTCAAGGAAAATACATAGAAGAAAACTTAAAAAATATTTTGGTTTATTGCATATATCATTTCTATAAAATAATACTAAGCCCATGAGACACTGTCTCTGGTGCAACTTCCATTTAGAGAATAAGATATATATGGGATTTATTTAGAGAAACCTAATTTTCATGTTAAAATAAGTTAGATTTTTTTTTTAAACTAGCTAATTCCAAAACTAGTTGATCAAGAATAATATATTATTCCTGTAAAGCCAAACTATAATTACTGGAAGAAATTTGAATCAGACTGAAAACTCCAAATTACTACTATGATTAAATACTTCTCTACTGTTTGATATCTTGCCATTTAAAAAAATTCAGCAGAAAGCAGCAATTGTGTAGAACAGTAATTTTTAGCTACATTATCCTTATTTTACCATGTAGTGTTATTTAAATCCCCCCTTAAAAAGAACAGGAATTCATCCTTAAAAAGGGACACTATTTGCTGAGTACTGGTGGCTCATGCCTATAATCCTAGCTACTCAGAAGGCTGAGATCTGATGATTGCGGTTCAAAACCAGCCTGGGCAGGAAAGTCTATGACACTCTTATCTCCAATAAGCCACCAGAAAACCAAAGTGTTGCTGTGGCTTGAAGTGATAGAGCGATATTTTTGAGCAAAAAGAGATCAAAGATAGCACTCAGGCCCCAAGTTAGTCCCACAACCAACAAAAATTAAAAGTAAAAATAAAATAAAGGAAGAGACTACTTAATGACATCAAGGATGCTGGAGCTGCGGTGCACACCTGATATCCCAGAGGCAGGCTGATGCGGGAGAATCTCAAGAATGAGATCCTATCTCCAAAATGCCAAGAGCTAGGGATATAGCTCAGCGGGAAAGCCCTTGTTCAGAATGAGCAAACGCTGGAATTTGATTTCTTCCAAGTTCACTTCACTTCTTGAGGAATGGCAACACAACGTTAAGAATTTTTTCTTCCATAAAACTATTAAAGTCCTAATTTGAATACTTTGCACAAGTGTGTGTGTATGTGTGTCAAACCACACCAAAATTTGAGTTCCTCAGTATAAAAATCATATATCTTGATGCATTAAACAGTTAAATATATACATATATATACACACACACTAAATAATACCAAGAATTAAAAAGAAAAGTGTTAGTAGGGGGTTGGGGGGAGGCTGGGAAGGGATGTGAAGGGTAAACAAAGGAGGAGGCTACAATGCTTGATAGGAAATGTACTCACTATCTTGCCCATGTAATTGTAACCCCTCTGTACAGTATGTTCACAATAAAAAATAAATAAATATTGAAAGGACATAAAAAAGTGTTAGTTAATATATTAATACCCCAAACTTCTGTTTTTAAAGCTATTAATTGGTGTTGCCTATTTTTTTTTTTTAGTTTTAGGTGCTTTGTATTAGAAAACTACATGTTTATGTCCCAACCAAGATGAAATTCCAAATCACCTTATCAATTTAGCAAATTCATTAACAGAGTTTTTCAAATAACGGCAAGAAATGTAAAAGTGAACATTGTATCTGCATTCTGAGGACTGAAAAGGTCACCATACAAACCAAGCCTACTCATAAACTTTCTTATTTACATAGCTCCTCCAACCTCTTCTCTGTGAACATCATTAATATCACCCTACCTGTTTGGATCGGGGTCTACCAGGAGAGAATTTCCTTTTTGTAATAGCTGGTTTACCCATGCCGATTTTTGGAGCCACTGAGATGTAAGTTGTTGGCATGATATTTCCAGCAGGAGAGCTGAGCGTCGAAGGGTAACCCTGCAGCCTATCATGTGAAGGCAAGTCTGAAGAACGTGTTGGGGAGGAAGCAGTGTTTGTCTTGCTCATCTCCACTGATGAAAATGACTCAATCTCAGAAGGTAAGTTTATAGATCCGTCCCCTTGGCACAAGCCATCTTTCATGCAACTCTCGATTGAAGGAGTCATTTCACAGTCCATACACCCGGTGGGAAATTTGGAATTTTCTTTCTGTTCCATTTCTGCTTGAACTCTGTCAATAAGCAACTGATCACTAGAACATAAAGAAATACTCTCCTGACTCGGGGACGCTAAGGCTTCTGGTGGAACAAGGACAGATTCCATGGTTGATGTGGGAGGGCTCGCTGCTTCTTTGGCTGTCACCACTGTAGGTTCCTTTAACAAATGCTGATCATCTTGCCGCACAGTGATCTCCTGTGTAAGCTCCTCCATATTTTCTGTCACTTCCATTTTGTCTCCATTCTGATCTTCATCACAAACTGTCATCACTTTAGAAGGCATTTCCGTGTTTTCACCACCAATCTCAGGGGAAACATCATTTTCCAAATCAGGATTCATTTTGCTGAGAGATGATTCTACAATTCAAATACTTCATGTTAATATATATATATATATACAAATTTCAAAATATATATGATTAAACTATGATTTATATGGAGAAAGGCAAGAATTATGCTGGTAAAAACTAAAAGCACAAAAGGTTTAGTGAATTAGAATCAATCACAGATCTTCTGAAAACATGACTTCATTAGTAAGTAAAATCAAGAAACAGATCTGGCAGTACTAAACTGATTAAACAAAAAGAAACCTTTACACAAGAACAACTACACACAGTGTCAATTTGTTTCAAGAAAAAAATCAGTTGGGCCCAGGCCCAGAGTTCAAGCCCTATGACCAAATTAAAAAAAAATCATTTGGGCAAGGAAATGCAAATAGGCTCTCTTGGAGGGTAGTTACTAATGGGAGGAACTTAGGCTAACAAGGAAGATGAAAAAGGATTGCTATGGTAGACAGGGATTGTTTGCAGTTATGAAGATAAAACAATGAAATCCACTGAAACTGTTTTGTGAAGTAGGGAAAGTGCTAGAGAGGATGAGGTTGATTGGAATATACTATAAATTTGTGCATATGCAATGAAATCCCACCTAACTAATGTACGCTAATAACAAAAAAGAATCATCACTTAATTAAAAGATTTTGTTTCCTGTAATATACATGCAGCAAATGCAAAAAGATATTTAGAGTAACATATTTGAAAAGCAAATTTAATGAACAATTATCTAGTAAGTTAATCAGAAAGTTTGAACATACTGCTTACCAGTAATGAGAAGACCATCTGTGCCAAGACTTTCTGATGGACGACATGGTCGCTGCTGCTGCTGCTCAGTGTGGACTTCAGCTGCTACAAATAACACATTATGGGATCTCTAGCAAAGTCAAAATTGCTCTAACTTTTCTCTCAAAACAATAACTTGCAAGTATTATCTTATTATCAGATGCTAATTTCCAATATAAACATGAAACACAGTTTACTATGTATTCATAACAAAAAAGAACTTGAGGATCTGTAGATGTACTATGGTAAGATCTGTATAACTATTATTTCCCTTCACTTTATTCTCTCTTCACTCTCTCTCTCCCTCTCTCTTTTCTTTTTGTCGGTTAGGGGACTTGGAAGTCTGGGCCTGGGTGCTGTCCCTAAGCTCTTCAGCTCAAGACAAGGACTCTACCAGTTGAGTCACAGCACCACTTCTGTTCTGGTTTTCTGGTGGTTAATTGGAGATAAGAGTCTTGCAGATGTTCCTGCCTGGGCTGGCTTTGAACCACAATCCTCAGATCTCATCCTCCTAAGTAGCTAGGATTATAGGTACGAGCCACCAGTGCCTGGCTCTCTCTAATCTTTTTTAAGTATTATATTTAATGAGTTGTTAAGATTATATATATATAACCTATATAAAACAATGTACAACCATATAATTTAACATATAACTTCATATATAATACCAAAACTTGCCTCAAAGTCCATATTTCATTGAGTAAGCATCTCCCCTTCCCTCTCATACCCCACACAAATCTGGCTAATTCCAGATCTTTAAGTTCAATAGCATCCATTTTAATACTATAAACACTTAATTGAATACTGAAATAACTCTCAATAGAATCACCAAGGTGACCTAATAGCATACATATTTTATATCTCAGCATGAAATGCCTCACAACCAGCAACAGTTCTAGTTAGCAAGTGCAAGAATGATAGAAGGAAAAAAAAGTCACTTGATCCCTACACAAAATACCTGTGTAATTAAAGTTAGATTACAGCCGAACTACAGATAGATGTTTTCGCCAATTAATTTATACCAAAAAGCAACTCCCTAATATTCCCAAGTATATACAACTTGATTCATTTGTACTTAGGGAGGTCAAGCTTTAGCATATACTCATATACTTGTACACTGCACATACATGTTTTCTTCAAAGCCCGGAGTAAATCCACTAGCACAAAGATCCTTACCATCTGGAACAATTCCAGGAATGGACTCCTTAGCATTGATGTCTTTATCAATTGTTGGCTCCAAAAATGCCATTTGGTCTTCAGGTCTGTCAACTTCCATTTCAGTGTTAGAATCTTAACAGAAAATTATTCATTCTTTAGCTCACAGTGAATTTTGTTGTTTGTATTAATTATGTCAAAAATTAATTATGGATCTGTTCTTTCAAGTGAGGGAAAACTACCACCAGAAAAATGCTACAAGTTTTTCCTCAGATATTCTTTGTTTTGAACCAAATACATATTTGTATTTTTTAATAAGGAAACTGTAATACATTAAAAGGTAATTGGCAATGTGTCAATTGACAATATACACTTTCAGCCTGGGATATTGATCCTGGATTGTATCATTCAATTCATTCATTCATTCGTGTGTGTGGGTATACACATGCAGATTGTCTTGTTTTAAAAGGGCATTTCACTATTGCATACTAACAGAATGGCATGGAATCCTGAAAATTGAAAGGTTAATTACCATGGAAGGGGGACGGGGGATAGAGGGGGGGGGGCAGATTGTGGTTTGGATTCACAGCCTTATCCTTGCTAGGCTCTGGCTCTCTACCACTTGAGCCAAACCTCCAGCCCTGCCTTTCGCTGGTTATTTTAACTTTTCTGCCTAGGCTGGCTTAAACTGCAATCCTCAAGATCTCAGGCTCCTGAGTAGCTGGAATTACAGGTTATGAGGCACTGGTACCAGATAAAAATACAACTTCTATAAAGGCATCCAATCATATTGAGGAAATAACAATCTCATGAGTAGATCTATTTTCTTTATCAATAAGTCTATTTGCTTTATTGTCTTAGGAATCTTGTTATAACAACAGGATACCAATAAAAATATTCTTTGCCTGAACAAAATTTGAGGCTCCAGAGGTGACAATTAACATTTAAGAAGAATGTAATAAAACCAAAATTTGTTCTATCAAGACAACCCAGATTCTGAAAAACAAACAGGATGGCATGTCAAGAGCCACCAAACTGTGACCTTCCAGGGCACTGCTGAAGAAAACACTAGACCTACCAATTCAAGTACAACTGTCTGAAATAAGCTAAATTTTAGCCATCAGATTAGGCATGACCAACATAAGAAAAACCCTTAAAGCCTGAGAAATGTGGTAGATTTGAGGGAGAATTCAAATAGTGTCATTCCTTAGAAAGGCAAAGTTGAAGCTCAACAAAATAAATACCAGGGAATGAGCACTTGGAAGAGCACGGAGCGGGGGTGGCCCGGTGGGGGGGGGGGGGGGGGGGGAAGGGGGGAGAAACTGAAGACAATATGGTGCGCACTTTTAATTCCAACCTCAGAAGACTACAGCAGGAGTGATGAGGCCTTCTTGATCCACAGAACAAGACACTAAAACAAACAAGGCATGGTGTTGTGGCTCAAGGGGTAGAACACCAGCCTTGAGCAAAAAAGCTCAGGGATAGAACCTGGGCCCTGAGATCAAAACCCCAGATTAGCACACACAGGAAGAAGAAAGAAGGAAGAAGGAGGAAGGAAGGAAGGGAGGAAGGAAGGAAGGAAGGAAGGAAGGAAGGAAGGAAGGAAGGAAGGAAG